TAGGATTATAGGTGCCAGCCACAAACACCTGGCTATTTTTTTTGTTGCAATTGTCATTGAGCTGGCCTGGGCTGGGTTCAAACCCACCATGGTGTATGTGCCAGCCTTGGTGTGTGTGGCTGGCACCCTACCCACTGAGCTAAGATTACCACCCCATTGTTGTACTTTTACAATGCTCTTGAATTTCAAATACCCCTTCAAAATGGTCTTGCCCACCTCCAAATACAGCTGTGCTTCCACCATTTTCTTTGACTATCCCACCTGCCACAGGTGATGCTCCTGTTCATTTGATTAATGTATCTTTCGAGCAAATGTCATAATACACATTGCTACTGTAATTCAGTTCAACTTCAAAGAGTAACACAAATAACCTCTCTTAAAATGTATATACATTTTTTTTTGGCACCCCAGGTATGAAAGTGGCATTACAAGTCAATGGGAAAAGGATGGACAATTTAGTAACCACACTAAGATTAAAAACAAAATCTAGATAGTCTAAAGACAAAGCCATGAACATTCATACTTTCAAATTTTTAGAAGAAAATATAGGAGACCATTTTTATGACCTTAGGGTAGGGAAGAAATTTCTGAAGGCATAAAACCCACAAATCCTCAGAAAAATTATACAGTACATATGTGTCCATTATGTATATACAGTACATATGTGTCCATTACATTAACATTAAACTCTTCTGTACATCTAAGACATCATAAAGTAAAAATATAAGCCATTAATTAATAAATGTGCAAGCCAAAACTCAACAGAGGTTATTTTCCCAGAAAATAGTAAACAACCAACAAAAACTCTATGAAACAATAAGAAAAAGACATATAACTGCACAGAAAAATGGGCATAGAAGATTGAAAATTGGGCGGGGCCTGTGGCTCAGTGAGAAGGGTGCCAGCCCCATATACCAAGGGTGGCGTGTTCGAACCAAACTGCAACAACCAAAAAATAAAAATAAAAAATAGCCAGGCACTATGGCGGGCGCCTGTAGTCCCATATACACAGCAGGCTGAAGCAGGAGAATTGCCTAAGCCCACGAGTTGGAGGTTGCTGTGAGCTGTGTGATGCCATGGCACTCTACCAAGGGCAATAAAGTGAGACTCTGTTTCTTAAGAAAAAAAAAAAAAAGAAGATTGAAAATGACAAACAGAAAAACTGAAAGGGTTGGGTGGTACACGTGGCTCAAAGGAATAGGGCACCAACCCCATATGCCAGAGGTGGCAGGTTCAAACCCAGCCCAGCCAAAAACAGCAAAAAAAAAAAAAAACCTGAATGGGCAATAAACACATGTAATATTCATCTTCACTTGTGATAAGAGAAATGCACACATACAAGGATGACAAAATTTTAAAAGTATTCAAGTATTGAGAAGAAACTGGAGTAGCAGGCATATTCATATGCTAGTGATTGGAATGTAAATTGGGACAATCATGTTGAAGAATAACTTATTTTTAATAACTGGTAACAATATTGAAATATATTTATTGAACCGTGTGATGGCTCACACCTGGAATCCTAGCACTCTGGGATGCTGAGGCAGGTGGATTGCTTGTGCTCACAAGTTCCAGACCAGCCTGAGCTACAGCAAGACCCCATTTCTTAAAAACAAACAAACAAACAAACAAAAAAAGTAGCCAGACATTGGGGTAGACGCCTATAGTCCCAGCTACTCAGGAGGCTGAGGCAGGATGATCACTTGAGCCTAAGAATTTGAGGTTGCTGGGAGCTGTGACACCACAGCTCTCTACCAAGGGTGACATAGTGAGACTCTGTCTCAAAAAAAAAAAAAAAAAGAAAATTTTTTTTTATTGATTAGTAGATTATTATTGAAATAATCTACTAATTCCTAGACATATAAATCTAGATAATGTTTTCCCTGAGGAGATATAGAAGTAATCATGGTATCATGGGATTTTAGGATTAAAAAACTGGTAGCAAGCTAACTGTTCCTTAACAAGGACATTTATGTATTCATTAATACATAAATTACAAGTATAGTTATGTCATATAATTTAGTAGTGAAAATGAACAAAATGCAGCTTAGTTATTAGTGAGTATAAATATTACAAAGATACTATTGAGACAAATTAGATATATACAGTGCAAATGAAATTTATATAAAACACTAAATATTGCTATGTATATGTATATTATATATGTTAATAGTTTTGTTTTTAGACTATCTGGATTTTTTTATATGCATAACCAGTTACCTTAGCAGTGGTTACTAAACTGTCCATCCTTTTCCCATTGACCTGGGATTATGTAATTAATACATAAATTATAAGTATAGTTATGTCATATAATTTAGTAGTGGAAATGAACAAAATGTGGCTTAAATATTACAAAGATAATATTGAGCCAAATTAAATTATAGACACATATATACAGTGAAAATGAAATTTATATAAAACAGTAAATATTGCAATGTATATGTGTATATATGTGTGTGTGTGTGTGTGTGTACAGAGAGAGAGACAGACAGAGAGAGAGATAATAGTATAGTAGAAGTATACATATTGCCATGAGAATGATAAACATAAAAATCAGGATACTTTTGCTCCCTGATGAGTGAGAAGTGGAATAAGATTAGGAAAGGGATACATTGGAGACTTCAATTATGTGTGGAATTCTTTAAAGCTAGATGGCTGATACATGGCTTTTTTAACTCACATTTTTGTTGTAAACTAGAAATATTTAGCATGGTTTTTAAAAAGGGAAAAATCATTCTATAATACCTTATAAACTAAAGAATGAACTACCAGAGGTTAAGAATGGAAAGAGGTGGCATGGCGCTTGTGGTTCAAGTGGCTAAGGCGCCAGCCACATACACCTGAGCTGGCGAGTTCGAATCCAGCCCCAGCCAGTCAAATAACAATGATGGCTGCAACCAAAAAATAGCTGGGCGTTGTGGCAGGGACCTGTAGTCCCAGCTACTCGGGAGGCTGAGGCAGGAGAATCGCTTGAGCCCAGGAGTTGGAGGTTGCTGTGAGCTGTGATGCCATAGCATTCTACCCAGGGTGACAGCTTGAGGCTCTGTCTCAAAAAAAAAAAAAGAAAAAAAGAAAAAGAATGGAGAGTGACACCTGTGGCTCAAAGGAGTAGGGCGCCAACCCCATATGCTGGAGGTGGCAGGTTCAAACCCAGCCCCCAGCCAAAAACTGCAAAAATAAATAAATAAATAAATAAATAAAAATAAAAAAGGAAAGAGGCATGGTAGGAGATAATTGTAGTGTTCCAGAAGTATCTAGCATAGTTTCTGGCAGGCAGTAGGTGTTTCACACACAGACGCTATTGTGGTGGTTGTTGCTAGTAAACATCAAGGTAAAGACCAAAATCTAAGGGGATTATGAGGAAAGATAAACTAAACTAGGTAATCTTGAGTAGATTATCGTGTGCTAGGTATTTTGTTTCTTTTGATCTTGACCAGAATCTAGTTGAGAAAGTTATAAAGAAACTTAGGTCTCACAGAAGCAATAAACAGAAGGCATAACGGATGCATAAATTTCAAATGACTCATTTTCCAATGTTGTTTAAAACACACACACACATCCCAAATACGTATACACACCCCTTTCCTGTCTAGCACTTGAAACAAATTCAAAACTCTTTTCTTTTTGTTCTTAAGTAGCACATTCGGGGTTAAATATTAATAGTTCTGTGCACCATACATTTGGACAATGCCTTACTTATTTCAGAATATTTTTGGATAATCTCCATTTTTCATCTGTCCCTACTAACAATTCTTAGGAAGGCAGGACATTACTGTCATACCACTGAGTAAACTAAAATATGAGGAGGCTAAATCAGATTGTTCTTAACTCGGTGAACTTCATAAAATCCTACGTGAAATAACTTACAACTGAATGGGCAGTCAGAAGTCAAATAGAAGGTCAGTTTTAATTCCATTTTCAAAAGAATCTATTACTTGCCCAAAATGTGAAAAAAAAAAAGGGTTAAATGATTTGTGTAAAGCCTAAAATCATAGGGTTTATAGTAAAGATACTGATAAAACACTTTTTGTAATGCTTACTGACTGCTTAAAGTGGAGAGGTTATTATATATATTGAAACACCTTGGTAGACATAGTTCTGTTTTGTTCAGTTGCTGGGCAGTTACTCTGTAATCTACATGGGTGTTACTTTTTCCGATGAACAAATCAAGAATTGTCTCTACAAGCCTTAGCACAGACTTGCGGCGGAAGAAATCTGATACAGCAACTATGTAACATACCTTACCATTTAGAGTAGTCTATCAAGAGTAAACACGAGACAGCTTGATCTAGGGTGGAAAAGTGAAGGGTGAGCTGAGGACGGGATTTTCATTTATCCTGGACTACTTAACGACTGGAATGTTCCTTCTCTCAGCACTAAGAGCGAGGGACTGAACTAGAGGGCTTCTCAGAATTCTTCCAGCTCTAGCACTGTGTGCAGTTGGATGGGATTTAAAATAAGAATTCTTGCGTATGAACACTTAACATAGGCCAGGATTATTTTCCCAAGGAGAAAAGCCTCCAGGGCCCAAGGTGGGTCACTGGTCATTGGGCCCACTTGTCCGAGGACCCTTCACCACCTGCCTGACATCCAAAAATGCCATCCCCCTTCTGGTGAAGTAGGGGTAGGGAGTGGCGGGCAGAGAAAAAGCTAGAGAAGGTCAAATTTAAGGCCAAATTGCTAGAGTGGCAATTTAAACACAAGGGCTCTTAATCCTTTATTTAGGAATGAAGGCAGGCAGGAACGCCCAAATGCGGCTGGTGCGGAGACCCGCCTTAGCCGGGTAGTGTGTGTGTGTGTGTGTGTGTGTGTGTGTGTGTGTGTGTGCGCGCACTTTGGGGGTGGAGACCCCGCTCAGACGCTGAAGGGCAGGAGGGCCCCGCCTCTAGCCTCTGGCGTCCCAGCCGGCCAGCGCCAGGCAGTGGCGGAGGGGAGGAGGCGGGGCCACCCCTGGGAACCTCAGGGCCCGGCCCCGCCCCGCCCCGCCCCGCCCCGTCCCGCCCAGCGCGCATGCTCGCGGCTCCGGCGCTGAAATTCAAATTTGAACGGCCACAGGAGGCCAAGTCTGACACTGGAGGCTGAGGGAAGAGGACAGTAGGTTGTGGGTGAGCTCCCCCGTCCTGCATTCCTTGTTTTCTCCAGGAGACACACTGGGCCGAAACTCACTTTTCTTTTCCTGAATTTGAACCACCGTTTCCATCGTCTCATAGTCGACACGCTGCGCCTGGGGCCATGGACCCGTTTACCGAGGTGAGAAAACTTGCGGGTGCAGTCAGCCGTGATCCCTCTCGGCCCCCACCTTCCCTTCCTACTGTCAGCCTCCGAGCCCACCGGGCCGGGGGCGCGTGCGTGCGCGTGCGCAGTGCGTGCGTGCGGGGGTCGGGCGCGGTCTGGCTGCAGGAGCCGGGAGAGGGGGGCGGCGGCGGCGGCGAAATTTGTTGTTCCAGTCGCGCAGAGGAAACTCTGGGAGGAAAGCTATTGCTGGTTGTGGTGAAAACAGCAAAAGGCAGTAGTGAGAACACTCGTGTCAGCCCCGTTAATGCACTGCCCCTCTGCAGTCCTACCTCCCCACCCCGGCCACCCGGAGAGTCAGGCGTAGGCCTGAACGAACAAGTCCTGCTGGAAAAAGCTGGAAAACCCTGCAGGGCGGAGTGCGGCGTCCGAGTGACTCAGTGCTGTGTGACTCAGTGATCAGCCTGCAAAGGAATGGGCTGTGATTTGCGGAGTTCGCGTGGCCAGCAGAGGAGCTGTTAATGCTGTTAATCAGTTGACAGCAAAACGTTAAATAGGCAGGTGCTGAAACCCTTGACTTCGTTCAGAAAAAGTCGGGCGTTCCTTCAGACCCCCTTACTCAGCTGGCTAGCGAGGTTTCATACCCGGCATTGACACTTTAGAAGGAAACAGTGCTGCCTAGCTGAATGTGTATAAAACAAAATTATTAGCCCACGATTTTTTTTAGAAAACAGTAAAAAACTAAGTTTTTCAGTGTTTGTGGAGCATATCATTACATTTACTTCGTCTTTTGTTTTTTGGAAATAGGATGTGGATTATGTCGTTATTGTGTCAGTCTAGCTGTAGACATTGTTCCTTCTTAAGTGTCTTATTTTATTTGCAGTTTTATTTTGGCTGGGGCCTCGTTTGAACCCGTCACCTCCGGTATATGGGACCTGCGGCCTACTCCGTGAGCCACAGGCGCCGCCATTCCTCAGTGTCATGTTGCCAGTTGTCCACCCCCTTCTATTCCAGGACAGTTCCTCTTTTTTAGGCTGTTGTGCAAGTTTTAAACTGTTATTTTTTGAATTGTTGCAAAGTGGGCCTTAAGTGTCTCTTAGACAAACACTCGAATCTCCTGGAGAGTAGTAATACCTTTTATGGGAATATAGTTATAATTCCATAGGTTAAATCTATCTGAGGTACTGGTTTCAACAATTGATTGAAGGTTTCAACAATTAGAGATTACTTGTATTCCAAAACAACAGTTAATCTGTTTTTCTGTTTCAAATTCTTGGTCGTATTAGGAAAAACACATTCATTTGTTTACCTTATTTGGAGATTTTATTTATTCATTTTTTTGTAGAGTTATCAGCTTCTGTAGAGTACTGTGGTGTCACAGCTCACAGCAACCTCCAGTTCTTGGGCTTAGGCGATTCTCCTGCCCCAGCCTCCCAAGTAGCTGGGACTACAGGCGCCAGCCACAACGCCTGGCTATTTTTTTGTTGCAGTTTGACCAGGGCCGGGTTTGAACCTGCCACCCACCATATATGGGGCCGGTGCCCTACTCACTGAGCCACAGGCACTGCCCTTCTTTGGAGATTTTTTTTTTTTGAGACAGAGCCTCAAGCTGTCCCCCTGGGTAGAGTGCCATGGCATTACAGCTCACAGCAACCTCCAACTCCTGGGCTCAAGGGAGTCTCCTGCCTCCACCTCCCAAGTAGCTGGGACCACAGGCGCCCACCACAACGCCCGGCTATTTTTTGGTTGCAGCCATCATTTGTTGTTTGGCAGGTCCGGGCTGGGGATTCAAACCCGCCACCTTAGGTGTACGTGGCTGGCGCCTTAGCCGGTTGAGCTATAGGCGCCGAGCCTGGAGATTTTAATAGAAAAATTTGGAGCATATTTTTGTATTAGCTTTAAAGAATAGGGTTGCTCATGACTGAATAGCTTTCACTTGTCTTGATGTTAAATAGGATATATTTTGAGTTGCTAATTCAGAATAAGATTCCTTAAAACATAAGCCCTGTGTGCTCTAAGTAACTGACAGGAACAATGCATTTTGAAAGTTGGCTGAAAATTGTATTTTGTTTCACTTAAAAACTAGCCGTTCTGAAGCTAGTACAAATTTAGAATGTGCTTAGAAATATGTACAGTTTAATATGCATGTTTTGTATTGTGAGAAGTTAGGTCAGCTGCAGTTGGAATGAACGGCTTTAACATCTTTTCCTTAATTGGTCATCTGTGAACTATTTGAAATGGTTAAAAAAAAAAAAGAAATGGTTCCAACTATTAGGGGCTTAATTAGAGCATTTATGACATTTTGTGCAGTGAAATGAATTTCTGGTACAGTTTCTTGAAAGGACTGAAAGTTAGTATAAAATGACTTTCTCCATCAGAGTTCCTTCTCAGAACCATAGAACACAGAAAATTATTTAAGAAACATATATTCTCAGTTCCCCCAAGGGCGATTCATAATCAGTGCCATCCTAAAAACATAACAAGGAAATTAATTCATTACATTAATGCCAGGGCTTAATTCTTTTGGTAACTCCGGTTCAGAAGGGCTACAATCATCCTAAACTCTTTTTTTCCTCAAACATGACTTCTTCACTGGTCCTCTTCCCTGTTGTTGCTGATATTATTCTGGGACACTCTTAATTTCCCTTTTTCTTTCTTTCTTTTTTTTAAATTCCTTTTTGGGAATTCACTGAGGGTTTAAATTTCTGTTGGAGATTCACTGAGGGTACAAGATGTGTCACAGTGTGGGACACTCTTAATTTCCCTTTCTCATCAGCCTGGCAAACTCTGATTTGACTTCCAGCTCAGGTTGATCTCCCTTTTTCAGAGGGGAGATGACCTTTCACAGTACTTGCCCCACTGGAATCTACCTGTCGAATGTATTTACCTGTTCAACATAGTTCCTGCCAGAATGTGAGCTTTATGAAGGCAGAGATTGTTCTTTTCTATTCACAGTTTCCCTAACATAAAACACATCCAATAACATTTTGCTGAATTAACATAGAGTAGAGCCCTTAGCTACAAATTATTTCACAATTACATACAACAATAACTGTTAGAACATTTTAGCAATTTTTCTCTGAAGAAAATTTCAAAATATAAAAGATGAGTGGTATAATAACCCTCACGCACTCATCATTCAGCTTTTGTAGTTTACAATGTGTGGCCATTCTGTTTCACTATATACCACTCTGCCCTACCCTGACTTATTTTGGAGCAACTTCTAGACATGATATAATTTCATATATGAATATTTTAGTATTTATCACTAAAAGCTAAAGACTTCAAATAAATATGGTGCCATTATTGCATCTAAAAATTAAAAATAATTCCTTAATATTATCAGATATCTGTCAATGTTCATTTCTCCAAATGTTTAATGTTTAGCTTGTCAGGTTTTAGACAGGGCCCACTGGACAGTGTCTTTTAATGTTTTTCATAGACCAACCAGACATGAAAAAGAATTTATCTCCTTTTGATTCATGGACTAATATGCCGTTTAGGCAGATACCTATTTTGATCAACTGTTAACATTTAGAATTTTTGTTGAAGTTGGCGTCTGTGGCTCAGTGAGTAGGACACTGGCCCCATATACTGAGGGTGCTGGGTTCAAACCCAGCCCCAGCCAAACTGCAACCAAAAAATAGCCAGTGTTGTGGTGGGCATCTGTAGTCCCAGCTACTGGGGAGGCTGAGGCAAGAGAATCACCTAAGCCCAAGAGCTGGAGGTTTCTGTGAGCTGTGATGCCATGGCACTCTATGAGGGTGACAAAGTGAGACTCTGTCTCTTAAAAAAAAAAAAAAAGGCTCGGCGCCTGTGGCTCAAGTGGCTGAGGTGCCAGCCAAATACACCTGAGCTGGCGGGTTTGAATCCAGCCCAGGCCGCCAAATAACAATGATAGCTGCAACCAAAAAATAGCCGAGTGTTGTGGCAGGTGCCTGTAGTCCCAGCTACTTGGGACGCAGAGGTAGGAGAATCGCTTGAGCCCAGGAGTTAGAGGGTGCTGTGGGCTGTGATGCCACAGCACTCTACCAGGGGGACAGCTTGAGACTCTGTCTCAAAAAAAAAAAAAAGAACTTTAGTTGAAGATATGAAGCTAGTTAGTTCTAGTGACAAGTTCTTAAAATTAAAGAGCAATTGGATTTAGTCAAGAGACAGCTTTTATTTATTTATTTATTTATTTTTGAAACAGAGTTTCACTGTGTTACCCTCGGTGAAGTCCTGTAGGGTCACAGCTCACAGCAACCTCAAACTCTTGGGCTCAAGTGATTCTCTTGCCTCAGCCTCCCAAGTACCTGGGACTATAGGCACCAGGCACAATGCCCAGCTATTTTTTGATGCAGTTGTCTTTGTTGGTTAGCTGGCTCAGGCAGGGTTCGAACCCACCAACTTTGGTGTATGTAGCTGGCACTGTGACCACTGTGCTACGGGCGCCAAGTCAAGAGACGGTTTATAGCAAAATGGTTAAGAGTCCAGACTTGGGAGCTTGGTTCAAATGTTGCCTGCTGCTTCTTAGCTATGTGACTATAAAACAGTAGTAGAAACAGAATCTACCAGATAGGGTTTTGAGAATTAAATAGTGTCAGTCATTGGAAGTATTTTATACTAAGTTCTATATAATCATTAGTGATTATTACTGTACTTGTTAGGTGAATTTAAAATTGTAAATTTACTACATATAACATTACTGTCAGCCTCTTTGTTTGAAGCTCTGCTCATGTGAGAGTCATCCCACTCTATAGGATACATGTACTACAGGGAAACCCAGAGCTCAGTGTGCCAAGCTAGAACTTTCCGCATAGAAACCTTAACAGGAGAAAAAGCTACAATTAAAATACTTTGCAAAAGAATCTTTTTTGTGAGATACTTTTAAATCCTATGTATACAGCCTGAATGTAAATAAGTAAGTAAACATATTCTTACTTATTTGAATGGAGTTTTCCTTTTTTCTTTTTTTTGCAGTTTTTGGCCGGGGCTGGGTTTGAACCCGCCACCTCCGGCATGTGGGACTGGCTCCCTACCCCTTTGAGCCACAGGTGCTGCCCAAATGGAGTTTTTCTTACTTTCCAGAATTATTATTTCTTTTTTTAAAGGCAGGATCACACTCTATTCCACAGGTTGGTCTTGAACTCCTGGCCTTTAGTGATCCTCCTGTCTTGGTCACCTGAGTACCTGGGATTTTGGATACACGGTGATATTTTCCAGAAGTAAATTAAAGTCTCTGTGTTGACGTGGGAAAGAGTTGCTAGAACATCTAGAAATAACAAGCAGCTAATTTATATTGTTTATTTTGTTTAAGAAGGCACTGAAATTAATAATACCTGCTAGAAAAATTTTCATCAGAAATGATTTGGGGTGTGCGCGTGACAAAAATTGTTTAGAGACTATAAGCTTCAGTTATCTGAGATTCATTCATGTGGAATATTTTACTTCCTGATTATTCCTCTGTTATTTGAAGAATTAGGTGTGATATTTGAAGGAAAGTACTTTATATTTAAAAGAATCTTTAAGTTCCTGATTATAAGAAAGGACAACTTTATTGAGGACTTATTATACATATTTATTGAACTGTTGAGTTTATGTTTAGATACGTTGTACCTTTTAAATTAATAGCCTTTAGTGCTTATTTCACAGATTAGGAAACTTTTTTAGCTTATCTAATTTTTTTAAATTTGAGAATTTTTGAATCTAATTTAAACACTAGAACACTTGTCTATGTTTGAATGACAAAACCGCATTCTTTTGTTGTGACCCATTGCTCATGGTAACTGAAGCTATACTGACTCACAAATGTTCTAACTGACCAGAATGGAATGTGGGCATGTCTGTGAATGAACATAAATTAGGCTAGTGTTGTATCTGGAGAGTGATTTTTTTTTTTAATCACAGGAATTTATCAGATATATGTGGATTTGAATACATATGACCATTCTTGAGTTTGTTAAAGGAGACTTTTACTTAGAAGGCTGAAGGTCTTGGGTTTTGAAAGGCATTTGGCTCCTTAATTCTTTCAGTGATACAGTATTTCAAATTAGTGTCACTTTTTTTTTTTTTTTTGAGATGGAGTCTCACTTTGTCACTCTTGGTAGAGTACTATGGTGTCATAGCTCACTGCAACCTCAAACTCTTGGGCTCAAGCAATTCTCTTGCCTCAGTCTCCCAAGTAGCTGGCACTACAGGTGCCTACCACAAAGCCTGGTTATTTTTAGAGAAGATGTCTCACTGTGGCTCAGGCTGGTTTCAAACCTGTGAGCTTAGGCAATTCACCTGCCTCAGCCTCCCAGAGTGCTAGGATTAAGTGTGAGCCACCACACCTGGCCTATTGTCACTTCTTTTCAGTGAAATTTACAATTAGAAATTATTGGGCAGCACCTGTGGCTTAGTGGGTAGGGCACCAGCCCCCTATACTAAGGGTGGCGGGTTTGAACCCGGCCCTGGCCAAACTGCAACAAAAAATAGCGGGTGTTGTGGTGGGCACCTGTAGTCCCAGCTACTGGGGAGGCTCCTGCAAGGGAATTGCCTAAGCCCAGGAGTTGGAGGTTGCTATAAGCTGTGATGCCATGGCACTCTATGGATAGTAATATAGTGAGACTCTGTCTCAAAAAAAAAAAAAAAAAAAAAAGAAAGAAATCATTGCTAAAGGCTCTGCTCAGGGGTTAGGGCGCTGACCACATGAACCTGGGCTGGTAGGTTTGAACAGGACCAGGGCCTGCTAAAAACAATGGCAACAATAACAAAAAAATAGCCAGGTATTGTGGTGGGCGCCTATAGTCCCAGCTACTGGGAGGCTGAGGCAAGAGAATTGCTTAAGCCCAAGAGTTTGAGGTTGAGGTGTGACACCATGGCATAGTGAGACTCTGTCTCAAAAAACAAACAAACAAAAAACAAATTTAGCTCATGTTTCTTTTGCATAGCAGGAATTTTTAGAAATTAGTACTCTAATTTAATTAATTAATTTTAAAATTTCTTTTTCTTTTCTTTTCTTTGTTTTGTTTTGTCTTTCTATGTGAGTTGGTCAGTCTTGAGCCTGCAGGGAGCAAGCTGGCTCCAGACTTCTTGAAGTCCATATTTCTTTGCCTCCAATGTTTACATGTTCAGAGACAGGGAGCCACAGACACACCTTTGTAGGAGAGTTTTTGTTATTTTTCAGAGTTGGGGGGTCTCGTTGTGTTGCCCAGGCTGGACTCAAACCCCTGGACTCAAGTAAACCTCCCACCTCAGCCTTCTGAGCAACTGGGAGAACAGGTATGCCCACGCCTGGCTTTGTTACCCTATTTTAATTAAGGAATTAAAAAATGTCAAATAGAATTTAATTCCTCAGTTTGCTGTATCTGCTGTATCTAACTCCTGTATCTGTGTGTGCAGGAACAATAGTCTATATCTCTCCTTTAGTTGTGTGCATTTGAAAGAGAATGACTAGTTCGATCTTATGTTTGAGTTTTACTACACTGACTCATAATAGAAATAACAATTCAGGGTAAGAAAAGAGTACTCATGATGGAATGGCTGAGATGTCAACTTAAAACTATCTTATTATATATTGATATTTAATTAAATAAAACAAGATATTTTCTTTTTTCCTCTGGGGAAGGATCTTCTGTTTTGAAAGGGCTCCATCTTATATCTCTTGCTGCCTATCTCTACCCCAAATTTAAGTGGCTATATAGGTTTTGATGCTGGAACACATTACCACAAACTTGCTGGCTTAAAATAATATATATTTATTATCTTACAGGTCGGTAGGTCAGAAGTCTGAAATGATTTTACTGGGTTAAAATTAAGGTGTCAGCAGGATTGTGTTCAAGGAGGCTCTAGGGGAGAAACTGTTTCCTAGGCCTTTTAGCTTCTAAAGGTTATCTGCATTTTGTGGCTTGTTGCCCCTTCTCTGTCTTCAGAACTACTGACTTCTGCTTCTATTGTCAGATCTTCTCTTGCCTCTCACCTTCCTGCCTCCCTCTTTTCCTTTGAAAGGACCTTTGTGATTATATTGGGCCCACCCAGATAATTCAGAATGTTCTTTCCATTTGAAGATACTTGATCATATCAGCAAAGTCCCTTTTGCTCTGTAAGACAGCATATTCATGGGTTCAGGGAATTAGCACAAAAACACCTTTGGGGAATCATTATTCTGCCTACCATGGTTCTTGACACAACAGCCATTCTATTTCTAATGATTCAATGGGCCTGCAATTTGTGTTGGACTCAGCTGGACTGTTCTGCTGCTGCATGGGTCATGCAGGAATTTTCAGAGATCTGGCAAATTATCTGGTACTGGATGCTCTAAGATGGCCTTATTCACATGTCTAGTGGTTGATGCTGGTCAATAGCTGGGCCATATGTCTTTAGCGGACTTAACCTGGGCTTCTTCAAGTGGTAGTAGCATTCCGAGAAAGAGAGGGAGAGAGCCCACCCAAACTGCAAGATCTCTTGATTCTTAGAAAGTCACACAGTATCATTTCTGCCATATTTTATTAGAGCAAATCATAAGGTCAGCCTAGATTCAAGGCTGGGGAAGTGGATTCTACCTTTTGACAGAAGCAGAAAGAATTGGTAGTTATTTAAAATCTTATATAAGTAGCTTTATGCATTTTATTTGCCCTTGAATGTTCCTATTGCATCTTTAATAATTATGACATTAGGGTGCTCACTTAATGAATCTTGACTTCATTATTTAGGATTTCATTTTTGAAATGTATTTAACTATTATCCTACGTGGCAACTGGCAATTTTAGGAGAGACTGCCGTTTTGTGAACTTTTGACTAAACTTGTTTTAATGTTGATGTATTTATATATGTAGAAACTGCTTGAGCGAACCCGTGCCAGGCGAGAGAATCTTCAGAGAAAAATGGCTGAGAGGCCTGTAGCTGCCCCAAGGTCTATGCCTCATGCTAAGCGAGCCAGAGAGCCACTTTCAGAAGCAAGTAACCAGCAGCCCCTGTCTGGTGGTGAAGGTAAAAGTAAAATTTTCATTTTTTTAAAGGAGATAAGTTTTACACATTTAAGTATGTATATGGAAGAACCAAGGTTCTTGGTTCATGAAACAAATGTAACAGCCTCTGAGAGAAGAATAGGGTTCTATTTTAGGGTTCTTACAGTAAGCACAGGACCTATAAGGTTGGTTTCTTTTAACAATTTTTTTTTTTTTTTTTTAAATTGAGACAGAGTCTCACTATGTCACCCTGGGTAGAGTGCCGTGGTGTCACAGCTCATAGCAACTTCAAACTCTTGGGCTTAAGCGATTCTCTTCCCTCAGCCTCCCAAGTAGCTGGGACTGAAGGAGCCTGCCACAATGCCTGGCTGTTTTTTTGTTGTAGTTGTCATTGTTGTTTGGCAGGCCCAGGCTGGATTCGAACCCGCCAGCTTCAGTGTATGTGGCTGGTGCCCTAGTAGCTAAGTTACAGGCGTCAAGCCTTTTTTTTTTTTGAGACAGAGTCTCACTCTGTTGCCTTGGGTATAGAGTGCCATCGCAACTTCAAAGTCTTGGCCTTAAGTGATCCTCTTGCCTCAGCCTCCTGAGTAGCTGCGACTATAGCCAAACCACAATATCCGGCTAGTTGTTTTTATTTAGTAGAGATGGGATCTGGCTCTTGTTCAGGCTGGTCTTGAATTCCTGAGCTCAAGCAATCCACCCAACTTGGCCTCCCAGAATTCTAGGATTACAGGCGTGTGCCACTGCACCTGGCCTCTTTTAATAAACATTTTAAATTATTGGGTAAGCAGGCCTGTAATCTCAGCATTTTCAGAAGCTGAGGTGGGAGGACTGCTTGAGGCCAGAAGTTCAAAATCAGTCTTGCAACATAATAAGACACTGTCTTTATAAAACGAAAAACACCAAATATTTTAAATTAATTGATTGAACTTTATTTTTTTCAATCCAAAGTTATCCTTAAAACCCCAAGGGAAAAAATAAAAAGGAGTAGGGTAACAGTTATAATGGCAGACATGTAGTTTTTTTACCCTAGCAGTGCCAGAATAGCACATGCTTAAAATGAGAGTATCTAAGCATGAAAATGCGAATGTAATTACTGTTTTACATAAGAACTATAAACTTAAAGAACTCTGTATTTTAAGGTAGTGTTGCATGTTAAAATAGAAACACTTCTAAAAGATGATTAGGTGAATTCATAGTAAATAGATCCATAAATGAGATACAAAGATTAGAAAGTTTCATGATATATATTTTGTTAAGTTGATGACACATAAGGGCAATCATGACTTACCACAAGTATTACCTTGCATTTTTTTTTTTTTTTTTTTTGCAGTTTTTGGCTGGGGCTGGGTTTGAACCTGTCACCTCTGGCATATGGCCAGCGCCCTACTCCTTTGAGCCACAGGCGCCGCCCCACAAATATTACTTACGGAACAAAAGCATTTGATCAGACAGTCAATGAAACGGACCTCATCTGCCTTATATGAAATTTACATTTTTTTTTTTTTTGAGACAGAATCTTACTCTGTCATGCTGGGTAGAGTACTAAGGCATCATAGCTTGTAGGAACCTTGGGCTTGAGCAATCCACAGGCACTTACACCATTACTCCCGGCTAGTTTTTCTATTTTTAGTAGAGCTCTGGCTGGTCTGGAATTCCTGAGCTCAAGTGATCCACCTGCTTCGGCCTTTCAGAGTGCTAGGATTACAGGCATGAGCCACTGTGCCTAGCTACTTTCTTTTTAAAATATTAATTTTCCAGGAAATATATTGAGACTTGTTCCTGGGTAAAAATAATATGCTTTGTGTTTGGATAGCTCCTTTTTATTTTAGAAAATTTTCAATTATTTTATAGCTATTTGCTATAGAAGTTTAAAGATAAGTTGTCAAGGGCGATGCCTGCTATTCAGTGGGTAGGGCACCGGCCCCATATACCCAGGGTGGCGGGTTCAAACCCGGTCCTGGCCAAACTGCAAAACCAAAAAATAGCCAGGCGTTGTGGCAGGCACCAGTAGTCCCAGCTCCTTGAGAGGCTGAGGCAAGAGAATCGCCGAAGCCCAGGAATTGGAGATTGCTGTGAGCTGTGACGCCAAAGCACTCTACTGAGGGCAAGAAAGTGAGACTCTGTCTCAAAAAAAAAATAAAAAAGATATGTTGTCAAATATTTGTATGGGTGGATTTGTTTGGTCTTGACCAGATAATTCTCTTATTCTGTTCCCTGCCTCTCTCCTAAACCTCAAGCCAAGTGCCCTCATAGCCTTACTTGTTGGTTATTGTTCATAAGAAATTGCTTCAAAAACAAAAAAGCTGGTTTCTACCTTTAGCTCAGTTATGTGACTTTACGCAGGTAACTTAATTTCTCCAGGCTTGATTTTTTTCTTATCTAGAAATGAGATAATTGGGCTGTAGATCTTTTTTTTTTTTTTTGAGACAGAGTCTCAAGCTATTGCCTTGGGTAGAGTGCTGTTGCATCATAGCTCAAAGCAACCTTAAACTCTTGGGCTTAAGCGATTCTCTTGCCTTAGCCTCCCAAGTAACTGGGACTACAGGCACCTGCCACAATGCCCTGCTATTTTTTTGTTGTAATTCATTGTTGTTTGGCAGGCCCAGGATGGGTTCGAACCTGCCAGCCTCCATGTATGTGGCTGGAGCCCTAGCCGCTGAACTACAGGCGCCAAGCTGGGCTGTAGATCTTTGAATCTGTTGGAATGCTTACTTATTCTGTGTGTATGCATTTTTTATTTCCTATTGTTTTAAGACTATGTGAAGTATTTTTGCATAGGTCTTGAGGATTGTTAATTAATTTTCCCTTCATTAAGATTTTATAACCATAAATTATGTTTGCTTAAAAAGAAATCTTTGATATCAGATTTCTAAGTTACTCTAAGAGTGACATTTTGCTATTTCTTTTTAAATTTCTTTTATTTATTTATTTTTAGACAGAGTCTCACTTTGTAGCCCTCGGTAGAGTGCTGTGATGTCACCAACCTCAAACTCTTGGGCTCAAACAATTCTCTTGCCTCACCCTCCCAAGTAGCTCAGAGGACAAGTGCCAACCATAATGCCCGGCTATTTTTTTAGAGACAAGGTCTTCTGGCTCTGGCTATGGCTGGTATCAAACTCATGAGCTCCAGCAATCCACTTGCCTTGGCCTCCCAGAGTGCCTGGAATTACAGGCATGAGGCACCTCCCCCAGCTATGGTTTTGCTATTTCTTATTGTAACTAAAATCATTGAAAGGACTAGAGAAAGATGATGTTTTACTAACTTGTTAGGTACCTACCTCTAAGTTTTTCATACTGTGAGAAATTACGTAATTTTGAATATTTTTTTTTAACCTTTTTTAATTTAGAGAAATCTTGTACAAAACCATCACCATCCAAAAAACGCTGTTCTGACAATGCTGAAGTAGAAGTTTCTAACTTGGAAAATAAACAACCGGTTGAATCAACTTCTGCAAAATCTTGTTCTCCAAGTCCTGGGTCTCCTCAGGCGCAGCCACAGGCAGCAGATGCTATTAGTGATTCTGCTGCAGTCCCAGCACCACTGCCGGGCCCAAGGGGAGGGCTGAACTCAAGATTAGAAGCAACTGCAGCCTCCTCAGTTAAAACACGCATGCAAAAACTTGCAGAGCAACGACGCCATTGGGATAATAACAATATAACAGGTATAAATTCTGTAGACAGTATGGTCTATAAATCTTTTTCAGTAAGATTCAATTTGGTATGTTGAAAATTTTATCAGTTAACACATGAAAGGTAAATGGTTTTGTTTTATTTATACCCTGAGTATTCTTTGCTTGCAAATGCCTTACATACCAATGGTATATTTATAAGTTGGTTTTGTTCTCATTGAGGTAGATGATAAGATTCTAACACTAGTTCTGATCTTATGTTTGCAACGAAAAACAATTGAGAACAAACTGTACTTGGTGTTATTAGCATTTCGGACCCTCAGCTCTGTCCTATTTCATGAATTCACTTAATAAACTAAGGTATGCAATGTTGTTCAGTAGTGGAGAGAGAAAATGTCAAAAATTATAAATTGAACGCTCGTAAAGTGTGTTATTTGTCTGTAATGCTGGAAACAAATGAAGTGACTTGATCCTTGGCTTTCATGAGCCTATAATCTCATGGGGAGCCTTAGAAGTAATTCAACAGTTACTTGTGCTATGATCAGTTTTATATTTCTCTTACCTTGTTGTTACCAAAAAAAAAAAAAGCCTTCAGATGACTTACAAAAATACTTATATTACAAACTAAGAAAATTAAGGAAATTAAGATGAAGAGAAAATATGGGAAGGAAAAACAAAGAAGAGACAGGTAAAGTCAGTTTATTAAATATAGGCTAAAAGGTTCTTTTCTTGTAGTAGCCATGCAAAGAAGTGAAACAATTATATGATTAATGTTTATAAGCTGAAAGAAAGCACAATCATCTTTGACACTAAGATGTGGAGAGAACTTTCTCCCTAAAGATGACTTTGTGGGAGCTAGTAAACCTATAAGATTTCTCAAGGTAGGCAGATGGCCTGAATCAGGCTCAGTCAGTAGAAGCAATTCTTTTTTTATTTCTCCCCCCCCCCCAAGAATTTAATGAGACTTTCTTCATGCTCCATCAACTTTATCTATTCATTGCTGTGGCTGATTAAAAAAAATAGGAAGTGGGCAGGTGGGTGGAAGGTAGGCTTTCTGTTTAATGAAAAGCTGGCAAACAGGCTTAATTCTTTAGACTACTCCCAAGTGGGTGCAGGTAAAGACCTCCTTTCCACTGTAAGTCAATGGCAAAGATAAGAGAGGCCTGATTCAGGAAGATACATCTTTTTTTCTTTTTCACTTTCTCACCCTCGATAGTGTCGTGACGTCACAGCTCACAGCAACCTCTAACTCCTGGGCTTAGGCGATTCTCTTGCCTCAGCATCCTGAGTAGCTGGGACTATAGGCACTTGCCACAACACCCAGCTATTTTTTGTTGCAGTTTGGCTGGGGCCAGGTTTGAACCCACTACCCTTGGTATATGGGGCCGGTGCCTACCCACTGAACCACAGGCATCGCCCAGTACATCTTTCTTTTAATGACATTTATAACCAATTCTCTGTTCTGGCCCTGGGAAGCAAATGTTCAGGTGTTTTCTGAGTCATCTGTGGCAGAAGCTGTCTAGCCTTCCCATACCTGATGGCAATGGGAACACTTGTAAGGTCAAACACATTTCTCTTTACCTCTTGAATAGTATGGCTTCCTGAAAAGTTCAGGTTGTGCTCCCACTGAACTTCATGGTAGGTGATGCTCCATGTGAAGTTTTGGTTTAATGACTTTTGTAGAGTAGCAATATGACTAGATAGACAATGAAGGTGGTGGCAAGTCTAGTGTAAGGACATAAAGACTAGTTTTTTGGTAAGCGCACCTGTTTTCCACAACTCCAGTTTTCTGGCCTTTTAACTACATTTTAGACACAGGTATACAGGTGTCTTTAAGTACCGCATCAGCACTTTTGTCTATACTCAAGTTGAGTCCAGCATCTGAGGTTGCCTTTCTTTTTTTTTTTTTTT